TTGACACGGATGCCGTGCTGAGCCCACTCCATGGCCAAGGTGTGCGTCATGTTGCGGATAGCACCCTTGGTGGCACCGTAAGGCGCAGAGGGGGCGGCCTATATACATAAGTTGTCAGCTTCTTGCGCAAATCTTCTGGCGGTTAGAGAAGGGTACTTACGCGGTTGGGTCTGTAGGAAGTCATGGAAGCAGTGAAGACGATGCTGCCCTTGCAGCCGAGTCTGATGAACGTCCTCGCGGCGGCAGTGGCGCAGTTCCAGGAGCCGGTGACGTTGAGCTTGAAAAGGAAGTCAAACTGCTCAGGGGTGAAGTCCAGAGCGGGCTGGTGCTTGGTGGCGCCGGCGTTGGCGACCATGCCGTCGAAGCGGCCCTTGGCATCGACGATGGCGTTGATGGCGCTCTCGACGCTCTTGTAGTCGGTGACATCGGCCTTCTGGAAGTCGAGCTTGCCGGGGAAGCGCTTGCTCAGGGCGGCGAAGTCATCGCCGGGGGAGGAGATGTCCAAGCTGTAGACGGCAGCGGCGTCGTTAACGAGGCAGACCTCGGCGATACCCAGACCGATACCCTGGTTGGCACCGGAGACTTTTCGGACTTGTTAGTTTCCTTCTTGGATATGCGTCTCTTCAGAGCGGTAAACTCACTAGCGATGACCTTGTCCTTCAGGGAAATCTTGAAGTCATGGCCCTCCTGGGGGATGGTGCTGAGGAACTGAGGGGCCTCGCCGTTGCCGTTCTGAGCCATTGTGTATGTAATTAGGGGATTTGTCTTTGACTAAGTGGTTTAGGAGAACGTTCAAACGAAGTTAAATCGGACTTGTATCTCTGTTGTATAATGGTCCGTTGAAAGAAGAAATAATTGTATGTGTACAAACCAAGCTGGATCTCAGACTGTAGCTGTGGCTTCAAACATCACGGGAAACTTTTCCGCGTCCTTAAGTATGCAGTCGGGAGTTCCTGGAGGTCGTCCGTAATCCGCAGTCGGCGGCTACGCCCGTGGGGGCCCCATCTCCCCCATCTCCGTGCATAATGCAGGACCCGAAGCCGTGATGGCCCGCGACGCGCGATTCAAGACGGCGGGCAAAAGAGAAAGAAAAAGAGACTTCACCAGCGTTCCGCATTAGTTGCTGCAATGCCCTTTCCCAATGACGCACCGCCTGCATTGAAGTCGTGGTGCCCAGCTGAGAGGTGCGGCGTCGGTCTCTGTGTAACAGCCGCCACTCCAAGCAAGATCCATGTCAACGCAGAAGTGAAGCCCGCGAGCCGCGGTCAAATTCTGCATCACCACTTAGCCGCGGTGTTGAACGTCCACGAGACGCGGCTCTGCGCCAACTCCCCGCCCTTTTGATCTAGCGCAGCTCAGCCCTTCAGCTCAACCCGGGATAGGCAAAGGGGGAAAATGACTCTTGTCCACGCCGGCTTCACGACCCAATTTTCCACAACCATCCTCGACACGCGGTCAAGCAAGCATTCACACCTCGTGCCATCTCCAGAACTTTGCCCAAAAAACCTGCCACTACGACAGCACCATGACCCGGGACTCCTCCCCGGACCCCGCAAGATTCCGGAAGTTCATCTCAACCCCAGTTTCCCCCAGACTGGGGGAAGTTTACGGGAGAAATTCTACCAATTACGCCAAGCCTGCCGCCTCTGCACACCGGAAATGCTCGACTCGGGTTGTGGTGGCTCGATCAGCGCGCGTAACCCAGGCATAACACTTGTCCGCACTCCATATGAATGGATGTGTGACCAATGTGCAGAGTAAGCCACACGCACAGCAGCTGGGGAATTAGTGAACACGACGTAGGTACGGAGATACAGAGACTCGTTTGTTTGTGACCAAGGCAGCAACCTCGTCGTTACGACCGCTCCTTGTATCCGACGGCGCGCGCGCGCCCACACTACTACCTACACACACGCACACACACGCTCACCGTACGTAATACGGCACCTCGGCCGAGCCACAAGGAGCAACTCTCTCTTAACCTCCAGACCACACACCGCAACACGTCTACTTAAGAACCTTTGAGTTGCCCCAATTGGCTTTTGCTTTCCAGTCCCCTGGTTCTTCGTTGACAGGTTGAACAACCCTTCTTATTTTTCCTTGTTCTAGTCGGGTCTTGCAAGTTGGTTCTCCTTCCTCAGACAATTGCAACAAGTCTGCGATTCATCTACCGGTCTCAACATTGCTGTCTGTCTCTTCTTCCGCCAAAAGCAATTTGCCCATCATGGACAAGAACGATATGACTAGCGACCAGCATGAACATGCCATCGGGAAGGACGTCGATCTGCCCGCCGTCGACTATGTCCCGGGCAGCGACGAGGAGAAGAAGCTCGTGAGGAAGATTGACATGGTAAGACAGCATCGAGACATTTGGTGATTACACGACGCTGACCCTAAGCAGTATCTCCTGCCCTTGATGTGGCTCATGTACCTTCTTTCCTACATGGACAGAACCAAGTAAGTTGCCATCCAACTCTGTGACTCTGCCTGCCGTGATGTCACCTCAAAGCTAACCCCTATTCCCCCAATCTTCAGCATCGGCAACGCCAAGATCGCCGGCATGGACAAGGACCTTGGCCTTGACTCTGGCAAATACTCGATCGCCCTCATCGTCTTCTTCATCGGATACGTCCTCTTCGAAGTCCCCTCCAACATGCTCCTCACCCGCACCCGTCCCAGTATCTACCTCCCCGGCATCATGGCGGTGTGGGGCTCGGTGACCATCGGAATGGCCTTCTGCCCAACCTACGAGGCCCTCGTTGGTTTCCGTGTTGTCATGGGTTGTAAGTAAAAACCATCGCATCCAGCGTTTTCATTCTTGCCTTTTCTCACAACTCCGCAAAGGCCTTGAGTCCGGTTTTGCTCCCGGTGTCCTGCTTCTCCTTTCCTCGTGGTACAAGAAGGAGGAACAGTCCAAGCGATTCGCCGTCTACATCTCCGCCGCCATCCTCTCCGGTGCTTTCGGCGGTCTCCTCGCTGGTTCCATCACCAGCGGTCTGCACGAGGTCCACGGCATCGCGGGATGGCGCTGGCTGTTCGTCGTCGAGGGCGCCGCCACAGTCGGCGCCGCCGGCATCGCCTTCTTCGTCCTCCCCGACTTCCCCGCCAACACCTCTAAGCTCAAGTTCAACGAGAGGGAGCGCGCCCTGGCTATCCGCAGACTCCAGAGCGATGAGCAGGCCCTGCGTGGCGAGGAGGAACCCGTTCTCGGTCACTGGGCTGCCTTCAAGCTTGCCATGGTCAGCTGGAAGACTTGGCTCTTTGTCGTTGGTTACATGGTAAGCCCTACTCACCTTCAATCTTGGTACTTATAAACACCGGCAAACTGACACAACCACCACCGCAGGCCATCGTCGGTTCCTCCACTCTGTCCTACTTCTACCCCACCCTCGTTAGCGGTCTCGGCTACACCTCGACCGCCGCCCAGTACATGACGATCCCCATCTTCGGCGTCGCCTTCGTCTGCACGGCCATCACCGGATACTTCGCCGACCAGCACAGCAAGTGGCGCGGACTGATCCTCGGCGCCTGGATGGCCGTCGCCATGATCTGCTCCATCATCATCTGCGTCGTCTACAACTTCACGGCCCGCTACGCCCTCCTGGTCATCATGGCGTCCGGTCTGTGGGCCTCCAACGGTCTGGCCCTGTCGTACGCCTCCGTCAGCTTCGGCGACATGGCCAACGAGACCCGCGCCATCTCCCTAGCGTTCGTCAACGCCATGGGTAACCTCGCCCAGATCTACGGCGCTTACCTCTTCCCCTCGAGCGACGCTCCCAAGTACCTCATGGGCTTTGGTGTCATTAGCGGATTGTGCTTCACTGGCGTGGCTTCGTACGTTGCCCTCCACATCTTCTTGAGGAAGAAGAACCCCCAGTATTAGGGGCAGAATGTATGTGGAAATATCACAGTAGGAACGGGGAAAGGGAAAAACATCCATGTTGGTTGGATGATCCGTTGTTGTTATTTAGGTTGATACCCAATCACACGTGTGGCCATTGAGTATGGCTAGATCGATTAACTCCTTATTACTGTACCTGCTGTAAAGTTTGCCTGTAGTGTTTGATGCCTCCGTCTTGTAGAAGCTAGCCTCGTATTCATGTTATTACCTCCAGCGAGTGTGTCACCTTGTTTGTAAGTCTTCGCCAAGTAGCAGACAGCTCCATGAAACTTTGCCGTTGCAATGCAAGCCTCCATCCTGGAAAGCGTACATGTTGGTAGAGACCAGACCAAACAATTTGTTTGGAACCAAGATAAGCTATACTGCTGTTTCAAAATTTCGCCCATCCCATTAGATTGTGGTAGAATGTCATCTTGTCCCGGTGCGAGAAGGGGGATTGCTCCAAAATGAGATCGCTATTTCACCCAGAAGCCCCGACGTTTATCAACTCGTGAAAGACATGCTTTGAACACGACGTTCACATGGATGCAACAGGTAGACGCCCCTGCTCTTGCCAGTTTCGAAGATTCGCCCCTTCTTTCATCTACCTAGAAGCTTCCTCTTTTCCCTTGATTCTAATTCTTTCATCTCGATCTTGTCTATAGCTTTTTCGTCGCCGTATTCGACCATTCCTATCCTTCACAGAAGAATCTAGACCAAAAGTCAACCTCGGCCACCATCCTGAAGAGAATCTCCCCATGATCATTCTCTCGTGGCGCATCATTAGGAACAATTCTATTCCACGACGATCTAGGTCTTTTGACTCTTTTCCACAATCATGGCCATCCAAACGAGCCTCGCAGCTACCTCGCAACCCATAATCCTCGCCTCCTACGACGACCTTACCGATCATGAAAAGGGCAGCTGCAATCCCATCCTCAACCACCTTCTGACTCTCAACCGAACTGGCAAGACCCTCGACGACGCAGCTCGCAAAGCCTTCTGGGAAGCCGTCTTCCAACGTTGGACAACCTCCCCCTCCGCCCACAACCCCCTACCCCACTCCCGCCCGCGAGAAGACAGCGGCACACCAGTCGCGATTCTCAAACAAGATGCGCCCATGAAGACCAAGACCCCCGGCAGCGCCACGATCCCCCCCGACAGGCGGCAAGGCGCGACCGTCTGGCTCCAGCCTGTCCCCAACTTTGTCACACAGCAGATCACGTACAAATGGACTGACGGTGCGAACCGAAAGGTTCCACGAAGCGCAACAAGCCTTCTCCCAGACCTCTCATGGACCCAGGCAAAGATCGAAGCAGTTATCAAACGCGACCACAAGGAACTCGATAGGGTGGGCCGCCTCAACATGAACGCTGCCGTCTACTACGCCCGGGAGCAGCTCCTCAGTCATCTCAAGCTTGACCGCCGCGACGGAAGCCGAAAGGGTCACAAACGCTGCAAGGCTTGTAAAACGCGCGGGGTGTCAGACATGCAGGAGTTTCAAGAGATCCGCCTCTGCGGGGACTTCATTGCGGCTTACAAAGATCTCTCGGCTGGGTACTTTGCGCACGAGAAGCAGCCTCTTGTCGGCCCATCTTTCACGTAGTCGTGTCTGCAGAACAGGGAAAGGGGTCTGCTGGGTACATATCGAGGAGGTTGGAAAGGAGACACAAGCCTAGTGTTGGCGTTGACGTCGTTATGGGAAATAGATATCATCTTGAAGACAGCTCCGGCTTCTCATTTCAAGAGCTTCATGATGCCAGTGATTACTTGCCACTGATTCTTCAATAACTTCGTCTAATGATTTACATCGCTGTCTGGGCGCGCCCAAGCCGGGGAAGCATGTCATAACATTTGCCACCGGCCGCGATCAAAAGTCAGGTAGCCTACCAATGGCTATGTTACAAATCCGAGACCTTCTTACCATTGACAGAATGCTCATCTTCAACGCACTGATCCTTGAAGCCTCCCATGCTCACGAGTGCGTCCCCGACGCATTTGGGGCTAGTTTTCGCCGGCACTATCGCCGAAAAGAACCAGGACGCACCCACCTCCTTCGGCCTAGGCTCAGGGAATTTGGTGTTGAATCTGTAGTAATCGTTGTAGAACCACTGAAACGTCGAGTCAAGAATACCGGTGTCGCCGCTACACTTGATAATCGCTGAGGAGAGTTTGTCTCCGTCAGATGCAAGCTTGTCATCGCGGAATCCGCCGCCACGAATAAACACCTTGAGCTTCCTCTGATCTTGGAACCAAGTGAAGCTGCACGAGTTCCAGACCCAATCCTGCTGGACCTTCTGGATCCTTTCCTTGTCAAGGGCCACGCCGGGTGCGGCATACGCTGGGTCCTGCTTCTCCATGGCCAGCGGCTCACGCGTGCTGCAGTTCGTGTGGACGAAGATGGTGATGCCATCGGGTACCTCCTTGCCGCTGGTTTTGTCTTTGATGTTCCAGAGCTGGTCGACGCAGTAGTTCATTTTGTGGTTGGCACCGTCTTTCTTGGACGTGCTGCAAGACGTTCCTGTTTTCCAAACGGACTCAGATAAGGTTCCGCTGGAAGAAGATAGTTTTAGTCTAGACACATATTGGAGATACCCGCTCAAAAGACTGACCATGTGATCTTCTTGACGGGAATGAAAGTGAAGTAGCCGCACTGGCCCTCTTTCGTGTCGAGAGACCAGTTTTGGCCTTGCGCATAAAACTCCAGATCACTCTTCGAACCGTACCCACCAGATATTCCAACCTCTAAAGCCTGGTCTAGGTTGGAACCGGACTTCTTCCAACTGCCGAGTGGCACCTTATCGTTTGTGGTGAGGTTGCAGGCCAGGGGGTAATGGCATTTCGTGTAAGCAAAAGGCTGCTCGCGACTCCATTCGAAGTAGGTGCCTAGCAAATTGAACCCTCTGTTACTGGATAGTTTCAATGATTGCAACAGCCGTTCTTAGAAACAAACTTACGAATTTGGCAGAAGCTCATACATTTAACCTGGGTGCCTTTACCGTTATATACCTTGTCCCAACTTTGACAAGAACCGTCGGATTGCAACTTGAGCGTGGGCTTGCAGTCGGCATCCCCATACTGCCGATAGAGATCAGCAGGTTTGTCCTTATCTTCGCACGGACTTGAGGCACGCTTTTCGAGAAAGGAGGTTTTGTTGAACAGAAATGCCGCGCGCTCTTCTGGCCTGATGGTCCATAAGGGAGGGTCGGATGGGTCCCAGTCGAATTTGACGGATGCCGCCTGAGCTTGTAAATCGGGTGTCCTTGGCGAAGGGAGAAGTGTGATGAAGAATAAAATACAGGAGCAAATGATTCCCTTCAAGACAACACCTTTTGACGTGATGGTAGCCCCGTAAAGGGTTGCTTGAAGACTAGCCGCTACCATTTCCTATGTTTATCAACAGGATCAACAGGACGTTGGACGAACGCACGACTTGATCGCAAGTCGGGCATGGCTGGAAGCTTTGGTACTTATACTCGTAACACGGACAAAATAAGGGTGAGTGGATGCCGTCATTTCATATTTTAAGAGCAGAACCAAAGGCCAAGACTAAGAAACATGTATATTCTTCCTAGCAACTGCATGATCGATCGCCCGACTTTTGGGGTACATGCTGCAGTAGAACTAATTTTGGGGCTGAGTGGAAGCAAGGGGCTAATGTGCACATCTGACCGAGAAATCGACACAGATCCAGTGACGTTGCATCGTCGTAGTTTCCAACAACAAGTCATCATTGGCGAGTTGTAAGGCGGGTTTTGTGCTTTTTCTTTTGTTAGATGCCAAGCCACGGTAAGCATGTGCTAGATCAAATAAATGCAGCCAAGATGCAGAGCTGGAATCAGGGCAGAAGGTTGGAAACTTGTATATTTTGGTGTGTTACCGGGAAAGCTTGATGAAGGCGGAGGACAGTCGCTGTGTTTGTCTTGACTGGTGGTACAACAAGAATGTTGTGCCGCACACGTGGACGTTGTTTTCTTTGAAACTAATCTTGCTGGCACAGGCTTACGTCTAGAATCTCTTTCGTTTGATCTGAGGGATGTATATAAGAACCCATCAGATCCATGCATCTACCGTTGGCAAGACCGGATAGCAGACCACCAAGGCGGGGTGCGTCATTCAGTATCGTTGAGGATGGCCAGTTGCACTTTCAGCCACTAGTATCATCATGACAATGAACTTCATGATATATTTGAATAGAGCAGGCTATTCTCATTGCAAGTGTCTGCCGCCAGGTTCAGGACCGGAATCGGGGTTATCCCGGGCTCGGGTTCGGTGCCGGACATGGGCCCAGCCGTTGGGCCTGCCGATCGCATATCAAAATTCCGATATTTTCTTTATTGTACAAGGGTACAAGGATGAAGCCGGCATATCGGATGCACGATGAGCGATGAAATAAAGATTGCGCGGTGTCGACACGAAGTTGCGTTTTCAACTACCTTTTCTGTAAACTTAGACGCGCTCTTGAGCACTACTTTCGGTTTAGCGCATGCCAAGACTGGACCTGCGAAGGGTTCCTTGATCTTCACCGTGGCCCCTGCTTGCACCCCCGACTTATCAGATTGCGACCCCTCTTTCGACGGTCTATACTACGGCAGCAATGAGAAAATGAGTAAACAATCTCTTCGATATCCGGCTTAGCTAACGCTGGGGTCTACTACGCCTAGCGAGGCCGGAAACTGAAAGGGGAAGCTAATCTACATATTTATATATAAGACTACAGACGCTGGAGGATTAGTGGGCGGGCCCTCTAGTGAAACTCCTAGAGCGTAGCTTCTAAGCCTCTATACTAGAAATATATTTAGGATTAATTAAATTACTATTCTTAATATAATCTTCTTAAATAGTAAAATAAAAGTTTAAGAGAAACTATTAATAATAGTAAAATAAGTAGTAGAAATAAGTAGTAATTAAAATACATATTTTAAAATAAAAAAACTACTTTTTTAGAGAAAATAACGAATATCTTTAAATTAAAATAAATTAAACTTCTTTAAATAAATAGTAGTAGTAATAATAATAATAGTAATAAAATCTCTAAAAAGCTATATGACTTTTAATTTATATTCTAAATATATTACAACTATTATAAATTTCTAAATATTTAGTTTAGTTTTAGTTTTAGCTACCGAAATCTTATTTATTATTAAATATTTATTTTTAAACTATTTAAAATTTAAGCTAATAAATATAAACAAATAAAAGTAATTAAAAAAAAGAAGTAAAACTAAAGCTAATATTAAATTTATAATTAAAATAGAAATTAAACTTAAAAATAATAATTTGAGCTATTTAAATAATAATTAATAGTTATAAATAATTATTATTTAGAACTTAATAATAGTTATTGAATAATTATATATATTTTTAAAAGAACATTAATAATTTTAGCTATTACAAAATAATTAGTATATATATTACTAGTAAAATTAATAGTAATAACAAAATATAATATAAAATAATTATAAACTTTACTTTTTAGTATACTAAATATAAGATATAAAAGCTATATTACTAACTATTTAGATTATAATAGCCAAGATATTTTAAGCTTTTTTAGTAATAAAAATATTATAAAAATAAAGATTTATATTATAATAAGCTTTTATTTTATAAAGAAGTTAAAAAGCTTTTAAACTATATTAATAGCTAGCTTCTTAAAATAAAAAGGTAGAGTATATTTAATGTATGTAGTAGTAGCTATTATATATTAAATAATATTAATATAGATAAATAAATAATATATTCTTTATACATATATTAGCTATGTTATGATTGTTTTTAATAATAAAAATAGTAGTAATAATAGTAATAGTAATAATATTAGAGAGATTTTTCTTTAGAGTTGTATTAATAAGATAAATAAATTAATAAAATAATAGAATAATTACTATTATTAAAGCTAAAGAAGTTATAAATATTAAAAGGCTTTCTAGCTTATTAAAACTTATTATATAGTATAATAGTAGTATTTAGAAAAACAAAAGAAGAAGTTATAATAATAAGAAGTTTAAAAGATATAACAGTAAGTATATAATAAAGTAGTAAAAATATAATTATTAAATCCTATTATTATATCAAAATAAATTATCTTATAAACCTTTTTAGATACTAATTTTATTTCATTTCCCCTCTATTAAATTAATTACTAAAAGGTTTTATTAATTTATTTAGAAGCTATAAAATATTATTATATTTATTATATTATTTAGTGAGGTTAAAAGATAATATAAAAGGATAATCAAAGAAAGAAAATAAAAAGAAAAAAGAGATATGTTATTATTATTTAACTATTGAGGGGTGTAATATAATAGATTAAGGCTTTTATAAGAGATTTTAGTAGATATTAATAATAACTTGAAACTATCTAACTACTTAACTCTAACTATTTAACTACTTAACTACTAACTTGAACCATAATAATATTATTATTATAGTTATTTAAATCTATTATAACTTCTAAATATTTATTTTAATAAGCTGATTTATATTTAAAGTAATTAAGAGGAACTTTATAGGTTAGTTTATATTTAGCTAAAAGCTTCAAAAAGGTCTTTATTAGTAATAGCATTAATATAATTATCTAAATCTATAGTAGCTTTTTGTTATTTACTTAAATAGGCTAATTATTATCTAAAATAATTAACTTAATAGATTAGTTTATGTTTAGCTAAAAGCTTTAGAGAGGCTTTTATTAGTAATATTATTACTATAGTTATTTGAATCTATATTAACTTTTAAGCTTAAATAGGCTAATTATTATTTAAGGTATAAAAAAGTATTACACTTAAGCGTAAATAAGAGGAAAAAGCATATTTAATAACTAAATAATATATTAAATAGTATAATACTATATATTATTAATATAACTTCTTATAGTTTTAGTTTTATGATAGTAAAAATATTTATAGTTAAAATTTCCTTTAAATATAACGCTATTGATAGTTTTAATATAGAAAATAGTAATATAAACTAAACTAAACTAAAACTTATATATAGAAATATTTATAATAGTATACTTAAAAGTGAAGCTTTAAACCTTATAGATAGTAGTAATAAAAGTATTTATTAAGAGAAACTATATATATATAACTATATATATATAAGATTACACTTTTATAATATTTATACGTAATTTAGAAGATAAATATGATATTAAAGCTAGAGATATTAATAAGTCCTTTATATATATTGAATTTAAAGAGAATAATGAAAGGTATATTATTTTACTAGTTAATATAAAAAGCCTAAGTAATATCTTAAATAATACTAATAACGCTATTGTACAGCTTAGCTTTAATTTATATATTCTCTATTAATATAATATATAAGCTAATATAAAGGAATAATTTAGTATAGAAACTATTAATATTAGTAAAAGAGACTTTATTAATATTAAAACTAGAATACTAAGCTATAAAAAGAGAATTAGAAACTTAAGACTTTTAAGCTTTATTATATTATACTTATTAACCTTAATATTGATAAAAAAGATAAAAAGAAAGTATTATTAAACTTTTAAACTTATTAAATTAGAAATATCTAACACATATAAATATAAAATATATATTATATTTTAAAAAATGATTTTAGGGATATAAAGCTAATCTAAAGCTTATTAAAAAATAGCTTAATTATTATTTTATTACCAAATAATAATACTTAGCTTAATAGTTTTATTAAATAAGTAGTAGTTATTCTTTCTATTAATCTTGTATTAATCTCTAAATAGTTTATTATTATAAAGTAGTCTTTCTATAACTAGTAGAAGTTAGAAAAAATCACTTATAATTAGGATATTAAAGCTTCTAAAAAGTATATCAATATTATTTAGAAGGATCTATTTAAAATAATTATTTAACTATTTAAATATTTATAAACTAATTATCAATTTCTTATTAATAATAAAGTATTAAATTAATCTCTATATAGTTTATAATAATATAACATTAATATTAATAAGTAGATAGAACTATAACTAAATAATAAGTAAATAGAGAAGGTTATAGAGAGTAAAACCTCTAATACTATTTGCTATAATACTAATTAATATAAAAATTATTATATAATTACTAAAATTACTAATAAGCTCTTTAAAAGTATAATATAGAAGTTAAATAACATAAGACTTTTTAATACCTCTTTTGCTATTAATATATAGTAATAGCTATAATAAATTATAATACTTTTATACTTAAATATAGTAAACCATAATTAAATTAAAGATCTAATATTAATAAGAATTAAAATTATTAATATTTATTTTAATATACTTCTTAGTAGTATAAAGAAATATACTAATATATTAACTTTTCTAAATCTTCTAATAATCTATAATACCTAGCTTATTAATATATTATTTAATATAAAAACCCTAATTATAATTGAAATTAATCTTTTAGTTACTTAAGATATTAATACTTTCTATTTTAATAGAATATTAAAAAGCTTTGGTAGTAAGCTTATACTAAATAATAATATATATCTAATCTTTAGCTTTAGTATACTTAAACGTATCCTTAAAGAGATCTTTTTTAGAACTATTATAGAAGCCTAAAGTATAGTTATTATAGTATATTTAGTAAGCTATATATACCTCTTAATATATCTTAAAGTAGTTACTTTTAACTATTAATAATTTATCTAAGTTTTACCAAAGATAGTTAAATATTAATTTAATATAGTAGTAGTTTTTAATATAAATAAAGTTAGACTTTTTATACTAAAAGAAGTAGTTAATAATATATGACTTAGTTTAAAAGAATTTATACTAAAAAGTATAAATAGTATTAATATTTTAAATAAAATAAATAAATATTATATTCTCTTAAAGACTTTTAACTAGATATTATTAGTATTTCTTAAAGATACTCCTTTTTAAATATATTTAGCTTTTTATAGTAATATAGATATTATTATTAACTTAATTAAAAGATTAATAATTAATTAAAACGATAGTATAATTATATTTAGCTAAAGGTTATACTAAGAGGATATAATAAACTTTTTAAATACTTTAATTATATTTAGTAATAAACTTATTTATTATCTTAGTAATAAGTAAAACTACTAGCTAAACTAAACCAAGTAAGAGGAAAACCTTATTTAAAATGTTTTTATAGCTTTTTATTTTTATTTTTATTTTACTACAGTATTCATTAATATTTAATAGTAATGTAAGTGCTTATATAGAGAGTAATATTAACATTAGCTAGCTAGCTAATAGAGATAATAAAATTAAACTTATTAAGTATTTATTATTGTACTTATTAATATATATAAAATAATATAAATTAATATTATAAATAAGTATGGTAATATCTTATTTAAAAAAAAGAAAGTAAAAATCATAATTAAGCTTATTAGTATTTTCCTTTTTATATTAATAATAGCTATTATATATAAAATACTATGTATAGTTAATAACACTTAATAAGAGGCTAAATATTAAAAATAAGGCGTTTAGCTTAATAAAATTAAGAGAATTAGCCTTATTCTAAGTATTAAATTAATAATATAATTTTAAGTTTATAGCACTTATATAGTAGCTTTATTCTTGTATAAAATTACTATTTAACTCTTCTATTAATATATCTTATATAGTTAAATAAGTTTTTAATCTCATAGAAACTATAGATATATATACTACTATAGCCCTAAAATTTGAAGCAATCCTAATAATTAATAATATTATATTTTTAATTAGTACTTTATCTTAGAATAATTGGGAATATTAAATAAAGAGATATGTTATAATATAAAAATTATCCTATAGGTTATTCTATATAGTTTAAACCATTTAAAGCTAATTAGCCTAAAGCTATTTATTAAACTTAAATATATATTTTTAGAGGTAATACTAATAGTAATTAATAACGCTAAATATAATAAAAATAGAAGGGTAGCTTAAAATATATAGAATAGCTTTAAATTAACTATATTTTATCTATTAATATATATAAATACTTTAAAAATATCTCTAAACTAAATAATAAAATTTAAAATAGCTTTTAGTTTAGATATATAATTAGTAAAAATAATATAAAAATTATTAATTATTATCTCCAACCGCTTAATATACTTAAGAAAATAAACACTTCTACCTAAAGCCTTTTTATATATTATTATATCAAAAACTATAAAATAGAAATAAAAATAATAAGCAAAAGAGCTATTTTTACACTTAAAAGTATATTATATATATATAAAGTAGTTAATATTTCTGAAATATAGCTAAACAAACTCTTTAAAACTATTAAAATAAAATATAAAAAATACTAAAAGTAATAAAGCTTATAAGTTATTTGGATTATTTAGAGAGGTAGCTTTAAATGAAAATATATTAACATAATCCTAAATAGTAGGCTGAATAATAAGCTAAGTAATATTCAAATTACTATATAGATACTTTAAATCAAACTAATCTATTATAATATTAAGTAAAATAATAATATTAGTATTATCTATATTATACTTTATATTAAAATTAAACTTTTGTCTAGCTTATTAAGAAACTATTATAAAAATTTATTTATCACACTATTACTATTAAATAACTAATTTAAATTTATTATATTAAAAATAATATTAATATAACTTAAATAGTTATTAAGTAGATAATAAAGCTAGATATGAATATAGTTCTTATAAATAATAAATTATTAATAGAATTACTAATATATATAGAGGTTTTAATCTATATTTATAGAACAACGAATAATAATATTAACATTTATAAATAAAAAGAGTAGCTAATTATATACTTTAGCTATACTATAAAAGAAATTAATAATATAACCTTTATAAGTATACTAAACGCTACAAACTTAATAGAGGTTAATAGTATAATAAACTCTTATAATAAAAATCTTTTTAATATAACGTACTTTACCAGTCAGCCGCACATATCAGTCAGCTGCACACTTTTCCTCATCTTTCAAATATCATATAAGGTTTTACAACCAGAACGTAGAAAATCAATTAGCTCTTATCGGTATCTGATTCACTAGACGATTCTACATCTTTAGAACACGTTCGCGCATTATGGCCTGTCTTGCTGCACACACCGCAACGCTGTTAAGCCAACTAACCCTTCTTCGACAGACCCCTATCTTCACCTTCTTGAGGCGCTGGACGTTTCTCTTTACCCTTTTCTTCCAGGATAACCTGAGATTCTGCTATATTAAGTGCTCCTCTAAGCTGGACGTATGTCTTTTTTGCTCTCTAGCGCTTAGTAAGCGCTATACTAGCATCCTAAAGTGTGCGCACTTAATCTGTTAAAATTGTGATTAAGTGCGCTATTACCTATACACCCTTTGCTAGCTGGTTGACTGCTTTAATTATTAGTGTTAGAGAGCTTCCCTAATAGGCTGAGATCTAAGTTTTAATAAAGTTTAACTGTGAAAGCGCTTTATATTAGTTAGAGGGCGTTTATGTCACGGGCTAGAGCCCGGCCGAGATCTCCGGCTTTGCCGGAGCAGCTACCGAGACCTGGCTCCGCTGGGTCCACTATTCTGCCGTAGCACACCGCCTAGCCCCGGTGTGCTTCACCGCCGCTAGGCGCCTATCCCTGTAAAGTCCCTTCTTCCTTCTTCAGCTTAGAATAGTCAATCGACGGCACCTCTACGTTGAACAAGCCTAGGGGCTAGCCCCTTACATATTCTAAGCTTAATAACAAAGACGCTATATGAAACCTCACGAGTGCGACAGGATGGATTCGCTAGAGGGTAGCGCAAACGACGCAATAAACGCTGAAATTGACCGCCGGATCAACGAAGCGGTGAACGCAAGCATACGTCCTCTTCAGGACCAGATGGTCCAGCAGTCGACCTAGATGACGCAGCTCTTGACAGCTCTAAATAGGCTTATGTCACCGGATAGAGCAACCCCTACGCCGCTCGCGAGTAGCATACCGACCCCGTCCACAGCCGATACGACTATACAGGCTCTAAGTGACGGTATAGTGAAGGTAGCTGAAGGGCGAAAGAAGCCCCTACTGAATCCCGTAAAGTTCACGGGAAAGCGTAAAGACTACCCAGCATGGTCTCAGCAAATGCGCGATAAGATAACCCTGGATATATAGTGTATAGGGGGTAAGGCTGAGGTCTGGTATTATATCAACTCACGCCTTAACGTTAACCCTCAATAAGTTGTTGCTACCTTTTACGCTGCTGGTGGCCCTGAGGGTAAACGAGACCCCTCTGAGTTTATGAGGTACTTAGACTGTATATATAAGGACCTAAGTGCTACCTCTCGCGCAGCTGCTATGCTACAAACGATCTGGCAACAGGACGATCAGTCTCTCGCCTCTTTTCTCCCCTAATTCGAGAGAATACTGTCAGAAGCTGGAGGAGCAAGTTGGGCAGACCAGGCGAAGATAACCCTCCTCGAGGGAGCACTTAGTACGCAGCTTCAGCAAGCTCTCGTTACTGTCGACCTCCCTGTTGATGACTACTATGGATGGCTTGTGCGCGTACAAGATGTAGCTGCAAGGCTAGAGAGACTTCCAGCTATAACGCGTAGGAACAGCTCATACCGCCCCAGAGCCCCCGAAGCAAGCAGGCACCGCGACGACGATAGTGATGTGGTTATGACCGGCGTAAGCCGCGCAAGGAACAAGAAGAGAGCTATAGAACCGCAGCGCCACAGACGCTACTCCTCCTCATCTAAGTCTGAGGGTAGTGAGCAACCACATAAGGACAGTCGCCAATGTTATAACTGTAATAAGATAGGCCATATCGCTATATAGTGCCCTAAGCTAAAGCGTTCAGGACCAAAGAAGGTTAAGAAGGTTAAGAAAGCCAAGAAGCTAGAGGAGAGCAGCAATAATAGTGCTACAGATGAGTTGAGAAGTTCTGAGGCTGAAGAGAGCTTGGGAAAAGAGTAACTCTAACGCAAAGTTGGGCGTTAGAGGCAAAGTCTAGTGATATCACAGAATAGAAGCAGTTTAAGCATCGCATGAGCAGCAAGTCAGCAGTGATCACTACCCGCATATATAGGGGCACTCAGGCGGACGCCCTAGTGGACACTAGGTGCAACCTATACGCCCTTATCGACCACGACCTAGCCTATAAGCTCCGCCTGCCTATAGTAGACTGCTCTAAGCGGGTACTAGGCAGCTTTAGCGATAGTATAGGTGCTACGAAAGCAATAGGCGTAGTTGTCTTTAACCTTAAGCTATGCGGTTATAACGAGAAGATCTTTGCGTATACCATACGTAGCCTTAGCGACGACCTATTCCTAGGGAAGCCATGGATGGAGAGGAACCATATCCTATACGATGCTGCGGCATAGCGTATACGGCATAGGAGGGGTGGTGTAGACCTACGTCTGAAAGGCGAGGAAGAGCCAGAACGAGTACGCCAGATCAGGACTGCCCGCTTGCTCCCAGGAGCCCCTTTTGCAACGCTCTATAAGAGGGTATGTCAACACACTAAAGGCACTACCAGACATAAAGTTCGAGCGATCAGCCTAGCAGATATACAGAAGGCTCTTATGAAGAAGACTGAGAAGGCAGACCTAAAGGCCCTCCTTCCGCCAGCTATACTAGCTGAGTTCCGCAAGCTATTCCAACCTGACGAAGCCGCCAACCTTCCACCGCATCGCCCTGGGGTCGACCACAGGATCCCTATCAAACAGGACGAAAGTGGTAATAAAGCTGTACTACCATAGGGTCCGCTCTATAGCATATCACGAGAAGAACTCCTCATCCTCCGTAAGACCCTATGAGACCTACTTAATAAGGGCTTCATCTGCGCTACCAGCTCAGAAGCATCAGCCCCAGTACTATTTGTATGTAAACCGAACGGAGGAATACGTTTCTATGTTAACTACTGCGCTCTTAACGAGCTTACTAAGCGCGACTGATACCCTCTTCCCTTGATTTGAGAGACGCTATAGACTGTCAGCGCTGCTAAGTGGTTCACTAAGCTAGACGTAATAGCAGCGTTCTATAAGATCCAGATCGCTTAGGGAGAGGAGTATAAGACAGCCTTCCAGACGAGATATAGGCTATTTGAATGGCTAGTTGTCCCCTTTAGGCTCACAGGAGCCCCCGCCACATTCTAACGATATATTAACAGCATACTTCGAGAGTATCTAGACGACTTTGCAACAGCGTATATAGATGACGTCCTGATCTACTCAAACAGCTTATAATAAGACCACAAAGCAAAGGTTAAGCTAGTACTGCATAAGCTTGCTGCAGCAGGGCTACGTTTAGACCCTCATAAGTGCGCGTTCTCTGTGAAGACAGTTAAGTACCTAGGGTTTATTATTACAGCTGGAGTTAGTATCTCTTGCGACCCTGAGAAACTGAAGGCGATTAAGGAATAGGCAGCTCCAAAGACAGTTAAAGGAGTCCGAAGCTTCCTTAGATTTGCAAACTACTACTGGATCTTCATCCCAGCATACTTAGAGATTGCTGGACCCCTGATAGCTCTTATAAAGAAGGGTGTCCCCTTCTGCTGGGGTAAGGAATAAGAAGCAGCATTCCAGGAGCTCAAGAGGATCTTTGCTGCTAAGCCTGTTCTATATCAACTGGACCCTGAGCGCACAACCTATGTTGAGGCCGATTGCTCCAGCTTTGCCCTTAGAGGCGTACTCTCACAGGAAGATAAGCACAGCAGACGTCACGCAGTAGCCTACCACTCGCAGCGGCTTAATGCTGCCCAGTTCAACTATCCGATACATAACAAGGAGATGCTAGCTATTATAAGCTGTCTATAAGAATGGAGAGCAGAGCTACAGAGTGTCAGCCACTTTAGGATCCTATCAGACTATAAGAACCTAAAGTACTTTATGACGAAGCAGAAGCTTACAGAACGGCAAAGCTGATAGGCAGAGGAACTATCTCAGTACAACTTCGAAATACAGTACCAGCCAGGAAGCGAAGCAGTAGTGCTAGACGCACTCTCTAGACGTGAACAAGACGTACCTACGTCTCTAGAGGATGAGCGTAAACAAGGTTAAATCCTACAGCTCCTCCCAGAAGCAACCCTACCCTCAGTGCGTATATAACGTATAGAGACAGCACTATTGATGCTTATATTTGCTGACGACGAAGAACTATAGCAACTCTGGGATCAGACCTAAGGATAAGATGAAGTCTACCAGCAGGCCTATGCTGCTGTGAAATAATGAGAAAGAAGCTTCCCCCTAAGCCTTAAGCTAAAAGTTCAGATCGCTGAGTGTGAGATTGATAATAGCAACTGACTACTGTTCAGAGATTAGATTTAGGTACTAGGTAACGAAGATCTAGATAACGACGCAAACAGGCTACGCACCTGTATCGTTCAAAGCACCCACGACTTAGTGCTCAGTGGCCATCCAGGAAGAGATAACACCCTCGCGCTGGTTAGTAGACGGTTTTACTGGCCCGGTCAGTCGCACCTAATATAGCGTTTCTGCTGTAACTGCGATAGTTATAGGTGTAGTTATATCTGGAGGGAACGTTATAAGGGACTTCTGAAACTACTACTGATACCACAGCGTATATAAAGCAACCTCACTATGGATTTTATTACTAACCTTCCCCTTATAGATAAGGGCGAGAGATATCTTTAGGTAATTATCGACCAGCTAGGTAAAGGCGTAACCCTTGAGGCGATAGAAAGCATAGAAGCTGAAGCCTATGCTAAACGATTTCTAAACTGCTACTTTAGGTTTTACAGCATCCCTATGTTAATTATAAGCAACAGAGGGAGCAACTGGACAAGCTGCTTCTAGCGGCAGTTCTGCAAGCTTTTAGGAATAGAGCAGCAGCTCAGCACCGCCTACTACCTGCAGACTGATAGAGGCCTAGAGAGGATAAACCAGGAGATCCAGGCCTACCTATGCAACTATGCCACCTACTCACAGAAGGACTAGGCATATAACCTTCCAGCAGCTCAGCTAGCGCTTTGTAGCTGCGATAATAGCGCTATTAGGATAAGTAGCTTCTTCCTAGAGCATAGATATAACCTAGAGCCTATTAAGGTTAAGGAAGCAAACCCAGAAGCCCCAAGGGCACCCGTGAGGGCTAAGCACGCAAGTTGGTAACAAGGCTTCAAGATGTGATGGATATAGCCTAATCAACCCTTACGTTAACGCAGCAACGCTATGAGGAACTGGCCAACGTGAAGCGCCAGCCTACAGAGAGACTAGAAGTGGGCGACAAAGTCTGGCTTCACATAGGTTATTATAGATCCCCTAGGCCTTATAAGAAACTGGATTAGCTACACCATAATACACAGTTACAAAAGTCATCTCACTATATTTGGTAGAGCTTAATATACCAGCAGCTATATACCCACGCGTCTATATGGATATCCTGAAGCGCGCAGGTAATAACCCCTTACCCGGTTAAACGTTAGATGACGAGCAGCTGCCACTAATTATAGACGATAAAGGCGAAGAGACCTGGAATATAGAGAGTATCGACGCTGCTACCTAGAAGCGTCGAGGGCGCAGGCGACGCCGCGAGGTTCTAGTTAAGTGGGAAGGATATACAGAGAGGACCTGGGAGCCTATTGAGACGCTCCAGGGGACAGAAGCAATAGAGGCTTACGAACGCCGTTACAGCTCTGCGATAGAGCATGATGGGGACCCAGCCTTAGCGCCGCGGGCGCGCCGGCGGAGGGGAGCGGGGGGGTGATGTCACGGGCTAGAGCCCGGCCGAGATCTCCGGCTTTGCCGTAGCACACCGCCTAGCCCCAGTGTGCTTCACCGCCGCTAGGCGCCTATCCCTGTAAAGTCCCTTCTTCCTTCTTCAGCTTAGAATAGTCAATCGACGGCACCTCTACGTTGAACAAGCCTAGAGGCCAGCCCCTTACAGTTTATAACTGCTAGGCTAGTGGTATTAAGGGATTAGTTGCAGGAGGTGTGGGCGTCTATATATATATATTAAGTTTCCTAATTATATAATTTAGGTCCTATAGTAAAATACTAGCTCTATAGAAGGCAGATTTAATATTTTTATTCATAAAGATCTTATTATAGGCTTTATAGAAGGTAATAAAGAACTCAGACTTTATAATATAGTCAACAGAGGATTTAATGAATATATTGATTTCATCCCTATATATATGTTTTAAAAGTGAGTATAGTATAATATCTAATAGCTGGAGTAAGTGAGATGAATATAGAGGCATACTAACAGTTATAATATTATTCTGCTTATAGTACTTATTAAATTCAGCTGATAAATAGCGTTTATATCTATTAATTATAAGCATCTAATAGACACCTTTTGCCTAAGCCTAAGTATACTTTTCAAAATACTTAATCTAATCCAGGCTAATTTTATTATCAGTCTATCTATTAGTAGTTAGTTTAATTACTTAGTCGCCTAGAAAGCCTAATTCTATTAACTAGTTAGCAAAGTGATAGGACCCTCAAATAATTATAAAAGATAGGATACACTATCCCCTCAAAATTAATATACTTAATAACTATAGCTTATTCACAGTTACTAAGCTAAATAGATTTTTCTTTTCTATTTCTATCAGCATGCATAATAACTATTAAACCAGTAATAACGCCCATCATAAAGCTAGTCTTATCAAAGTTATAATCCTTATTATTAATACTATATTTAGCTATCATATTACCTAATAATGCAAACCACTTCGATATAACCTCTAGGTCCTCTTAAAATACCGTTTAATAATTATATAGACGATTAAATATAGTCTTCAAAGTCAGCTATAAGTCAATAAACCTCTTAGCCTAATGCTTCCTAACAGGCGTCCTATTCTGCGTCCGCAGCAGGAGATTCGCCATATCTTCCACACCAGCAAGTCGCAGGGGAAATCCTCTAGAATCCTGCTCAATAACATATCAGAGAAGTGTTTTCTCTTCGATCAGATCGAGTTTATATCGTTAGGGCTGGATACGGTCGCAGCGTAGTCAATTGTTCATTCTGTTGCGTAAGGTACTTTCGGGGATACCATATATCTTTGCAGCGCCTCGCGTACTAAGTTTATGACCTAGAGCACGTGTCGATCGGATCGCCTCAATCGCAAGAATGATCTTATCTTCTTGGGTGTAAATCGGCATTGCGGTTGTTGAGATATTACGCGTCAAAGGTTTAAGTGGCTGGGAACAAAGCGCGTCATGGAAAAAGTGCGCGGCTGACTGATATGCGCAGCTGACTAGTAAAGTACGTTATATAAACTTAAAGAGGTAAATAGGAATATCTTTAAACTATAAGATACTTTTAGCGCTAAAGAAATAAATATCTTAACTTTAATTATAAGCGTACTAGAACCTATAAATAGAGTTAATATTTAGATTTATGTTAAACTAACTTTAATAATATCTAAAATAGGTTTCTATAATATCTATATTAAGCTTTATATAGAAGTTATTAATAAGCTATATATTAATATCTATAATTATATTAGTATCAAGATTATTATTAAAAATAAAACCTAAAATATAAAAACCTTAAGTCTTATTAACTAAGTCTATTTATTAATATAAATAAAGAGGTAGTTATATTAATAATAGTAAAATAAGCTTTTTTAATAGATATTATTACTAATTTTATTAAAAAGTATATTATCTCTAATAATAAGAGGCTAATATTAAAAATAGCAGATATATTCTATATCTTTATTATTATTATTAATAAAAAGAATGTAACTAATATTATAGCAGCTATAGATATATCACTTAATTTTAAACTCTAGGTTTTAATTTATAATACTAATAATATAGTAAATACAAATGTTATCTTCTAAGATATAATATACTGTAGAGCGAAATATATCATATCTCTAATAGATAAAATAAACTTATAATAATATTAGTAGACTTAAAAATATACCTCTAGTTAATATATTACTATCTTAACTTTATATAAAAGTAAATAGAGAAGGTATAAAAAATAGCTTAATATTTAATTTTTAAGTAATATAATATTCTCTCTATATATTTATTTATTAAGTATAAATAGTAGCCATATCTAAAAAGTCTTAAAAGTTCTAGCTATAATATAAATAGGATACTTAAACAGCAGGCTTAATTCAAGAGGTAAAATTAGATTAAAAGACTAAATAAAAAGTGTATTAAGTATTATTAATAATAAGCTATAAATAAGAGGTATTTTAGATAGTATAACTATTAATAGTAAGCTAAAAAGTGAGGTAAAAGAGCTTACTACAACCTCACTCTTTAAGATCTATTATTAAATAGAAACTATGTCTAAGAGAAGAGGCTAGCAAAAAGTTTAGATATATAGTAATAAAAATCTAAATCTAAATACTTTAGACTACTTTTATAGATTAAACAGAAGAGATATATTATTAATTATCAGTAAATAACCTTAAGAATAGATGTAATAATTTATACTTTAGGTTTTAAACTATCTATAAATAAAATTGTTAACTATAAGTCTAATTGATCTCTTTTTTAAGCTTTAGAAGTTAGAAATAGGTTTAGTTTAACTATAATTATAGTACTTTTTAGTTAATATTGATAGATCTAGCTAATTAAAAAGGTTTTATAAAGAACTATTACTATTACTATTTAGAAGAAGAAGAAGAAGAACAGCTATAGAGACTGATATATATATAATATAGTGAAGGCGATATCTGCTTTTAGCGCTTTTAGCACCGTTAGTACTTTTAGCGCCTTAAGCGCCTTAACTACGCTAAATAATATTAATGCAAATAGCGCTTTAAATGTAACTAAAGTTTTAAACGTAGAGAATGTATTTAAGGCTATTAACGTAGTTAGCCTTCTAAATATATATATTATCTTAACTACGTTTATTTTATACAACGTTTATTAATTAGTAGTATAACCTTAATAATTACTTATTTCCCTTAAATTAAGAAAAACGACTAACTTTATATTAATAGCTAACCTTATTAAGTTTAATAAGTAAGTTTTAATATAGAGCTAACCTTATAAGGTTTATATAATAATAATATCATTATATTAAACTCTTCTTCTAACTAGAAACATCTTAAAAAGATATAAAACTTTACTACTATATTTTAAACGATATTAACTAATTTTAAGGTTAAAGAAAATCTTGAAGCTAAATTACTTAAGCTTATTAGCTATATATTAATTACTAACTTCTAAGTTATTTATAAAAACTATTTTAAGAAGTTTTATAGAATAATTATTCTAATTAAATACTTACTACTTAACTTTAATATATAAGCTATAAGTTTAGCTATAGCCTATAAAAGATTTAAATATTATATAATAAACTACTATAAATAAATCTAAACTACTAACTTCAAAAGAGAAACTTATATTAACGCTATAAACCTTAAAGATTAAATAATAAAAACTTAGAAAGATAATTGTAGTATATTTACTAACTTAGTTAAGTAATAATATTACTTTAATATACTATATTATATAAGATATATTAAGATCAAAAACACTTTGAAATGAGAACTTAATTTTGTTTTACTATTAATTAATAACTATTTTAATCTATTATTACGTTATTGATCATATTATTAGATTATTATTACACTATTTATATATAATTAGTTAATCTATTATAACCTCTAATAAACGTTATATACAGTAAATTTAGTTAGGGTAATATATATATTTATAAAGTTAACTATATTAATACCTTTAAACGCCTTCTCTATATTTGTAACTTTAGTTATATTTAACGCACTACTTATGTTAACATTAATCAGCATAGTTAAAGCGCCTAAAGCACTGAAAGCGCTAAAAGCGCTAAAAGCAGATATCACTTTTACTATATACATATGTATATTTATTACTACTATTAAAAACAAAGAGCATTATTTATATTAATAAATATATTTTTAATTTATATTTTATTATAGCTAATATCCTATCTAAATATATTCGTAATAATATTTTCTTGTTATTCTAATTTATAATTT